GAGCATACCAGAACTTTGGAAAATATGAAAAAAAAATCCATTTTAATTGTTTTAAATTATTTAGAAAAGCTAGAACTCTTTCGTTTATAACAGATCTGTACCAGAGCTCTAATGAAGAACTCGATTTGAGTCCAGAACTCACGTCCAAGTGCCAGCAGAGCATACTTGAACGTTGGAAATTATGAAAAAAAAACTATTTTTATTGTTTTAAATTATTTAGGAAGGCTAGAAGCTAGAACTCTTTCGTTTATAACAGATCTGTACTAGAACTCTAATAAAGAAATCGATTTGAGTCCAGAACTCACGTCCAAGTGCTAGCAGAGCATACCATTTTCGATAGAACCATGATTCGATGGAACCATGTTTTCCCGTGGGAATGAATTATTTGCCTAGTACTAAGTTTTATCACTATACAAAATTTAGTTAAAATCGGTTGATTACTTTTTGCGTGAAACGCGCACATCGATTTGACTAGGTTAGTTTTATTATACGTATAGATAAGAATAAATATTGCGAGTGTTACTTAGGAGAAAGACATATATATCTGTTATAAACGAAAGAGTTCTAGCTTCTAGCCTTCCTAAATAATTTAAAATAATAAAAATAGGTTTTTTTTCATAATTTTCAACGTTCAAGTATGCTCTGCTGGCACTTGGACGTGAGTTCTGGACTAAAATCGAGTTCTTTATTAGAGTTCTAGTACAGATCTGTTATAAACGAAAGAGTTCTAGCTTCTAGCCTTTCTAAATAATTTAAAACAATGAAAATACTTTGTTTTTTCATATTTTCCAACGTTCTGGTATGCTCTGCTGGCACTTGGACGTGAGTTCTGGACTCGAATCGAGTTCTAAATTAGAGTTCTGGTACAGATCTGTTATAAACAAGAGAGTTCTAGCTTCTAGCTTTTCTAAATAAATTAAAACAATGAAAATTGTTTGTTTTTTCATATTTTCCAACGTTCAGGTATGCTCTGCTGGCACTTGGACGTGAGTTCTGGACTTAAATCGAGTTCTTTATTAGAGTTCTAGTACAGATCTGTTATGACCGAAAGAGTTCTAGCTTCTAGCCTTTCTAAATAATTTAAAACAATTAAAATAGTTTTTTTTTTTCATATTTTTCAACGTTTGGGTATGCTCTGCTGGCACTTGGACGTGAGTTCTGGACTTGAATCGAGTTCTACATTAGAGCTCTGGTACAGATCTGATATAAACGAAAGAGTTCTAGCTTCTAGCCTTTCTAAATAATTTAAAACAATTAAAATAGATTTTTTTTCATATTTTTCAACGTTTGGGTATGCTCTGCTGGCACTTGGACGTGAGTTCTGGACTTGAATCGAGTTCTACATTAGAGCTCTGGTACAGATCTGTTATAAACGAAAGAGTTCTAGCTTCTAGCCTTTCTAAATAATTTAAAACAATGAAAATAGTTTGTTTTTTCATATTTTCCAACGTTCAGGTATGCTCTGCTGGTACTTGGACGTGAGTTCTGGCCTTGAATCGAGTTCTACATTAAAGTTCTGGTACAGATCTGTTATGAACGAAAGAGTTCTAGCTTCTAGCCTTTCTAAATAATTTAAAACAATGAAAATAGATTTTTTTTTCATATTTTCCAACGTTCTGGTATGCTCTGCTGGCACTTGGACGTGAGTTCTGGACTCGAACAGAGTTTTAGATTGTAGTTCTTATACAGATCTATTATAAACGAAGGAGTTCTAACTTCTAGCTTTTCTAAATAATTTAAAACAATGAAAATAGCTTGTTTTTTCATATTTTCCAACGTTCTGGTATGCTCTGCTGGCACTTGGACGTGAGTTCTGGACTTAAATCGAATTCTACATTAGAGCTTTGGTACAGATCTGTTATAAACGAAAGAGTTCTAGCTTCTAGCCTTCCTAAATAATTTAAAACAATAAAAATAGGTTTTTTTTTCATAATTTCCAACGTTCAAGTATGCTCTGCTGGCACTTGGACGTGAGTTCTGGACTCAAATCGAATTCTTTATTAGAGTTCTAGTTCAGATCTGTTATAAACGAAAGAGTTCTAGCTTCTAGCCTTTCTAAATAATTTAAAACAATAAAAATAGTTTTTTTTTTCATAATTTCCAACGTTCAGGTATGCTCTGCTGGCATTTGGACTTGAGTTCTGGCCTTGAATCGAGTTCTACATTAAAGTTCTGGTACAAATCTATTATGAACGAAAGAGTTCTAGCTTCTAGCCTTTCTAAATAATTTAAAACAATGAAAATAGTTTGTATTTTCATATTTTCCAACGTTCAGGTATGCTCTGCTGGCACTTGGACGTGAGTTCTGGACTCAAATCGAGTTCTTTATTAGAGTTCTAGTACAGATCTGTTATAAACGAAAGAGTTCTAGCTTCTAGCCTTTCTAAATAATTTAAAACAATTAAAATAGTTTTTTTTTCATATTTTTCAACGTTTGGGTATGCTCTGCTGGCACTTGGACGTGAGTTCTGGACTTGAATCGAGTTCTACATTAGAGCTCTGGTACAGATCTGATATAAACGAAAGAGTTCTAGCGTCTAGCCTTTCTAAATAATTTAAAACAATGAAAATAGTTTGTTTTTTCATATTTTCCAACGTTCAGGTATGCTCTGCTGGTACTTGGACGTGAGTTCTGGACTAAAATCGAGTTTTTTATTAGAGTTCTAGTACAGATCTGTTATAAACGAAAGAGTTCTAGCTTCTAGCCTTTCTAAATAATTTAAAACAATGAAAATAGTTTGTATTTTCATAATTTCCAACGTTCAAGTATGCTCTGCTGGCACTTGGACGTGAGTTCTGGACTCAAATCGAGTTCTTTATTAGAGCTCTGGTACAGATCTGATATAAACGAAAGAGTTCTAGCTTCTAGCCTTTCTGAATAATTTAAAACAATGAAAATAGTTTGTTTTTTCATATTTTCCAACGTTCAGGTATGCTCTGCTGGTACTTGGACGTGAGTTCTGGACTCGAACAGAGTTTTAGGTTGTAGTTCTGATACAGATCTATTATAAACGAAGGAGTTCTAACTTCTAGCTTTTCTAAATAATTTAAAACAATGAAAATGGCTTGTTTTTTCATATTTTCCAACGTTCTGGTATGCTCTGCTGGCACTTGGACGTGAGTTCTGGACTTAAATCGAATTCTACATTAGAGCTCTGGTACAGATCTGTTATAAACGAAAGAGTTCTAGCTTCTAGCCTTCCTAAATAATTTAAAACAATAAAAATAGGTTTTTTTTTTCATAATTTCCAACGTTCAAGTATGCTCTGCTGGCACTTGGACGTGAGTTCTGGACTCGAGCAGAGTTTTATATTGCAGTTCTAATACAGATCTCTTATAAACGAAAGAGTTCTAACTTCTAGCCCTTATAAATAATTCAAAACAATGAAAATAGTATTTTTTAATATTTTTCAACGTTCAGGTATGCTCTGCTGGCACTTGGACGTGAGTTCTGGACTCAAATCGATTTCTTTATTAGAGTTCTAATACAGATCTGTTATAAACGGAAGAGTTCTAGCTTCTAGCCTTTCAAAATAATTTAAAACAATGAAAATAGTTTTTTTTCACATTTTCCAACGTTCTGGTATGCTCTGCTGGCACTTGGACGTGAGTTCTGGACTCCAATCGAGTTTTATATTAGAGTTCTGGTACAGATCTGTTATAAACAAAAGAGTTCTAACTTCTAGCCTGTCTAAATAATTTAAAACAATGAAAATAGTTTTTTTTCACATTTTCCAACGTTCTGGTATGCTCTGCTGGCACTTGGACGTGAGTTCTGGACTCGAACAGAGTTTAAGATTGCAGTTCTGATACAAATCTGTTATAAACGAAGGAGTTCTAACTTCTAGCCTTTCTAAATAATTTAAAACAATGAAAATAGTTTTTTATTTTCCAACTTTCTGGTATGCTCTGCTGGCACTTGAACGTGAGTTCTGGACTCGAGCAGAGTTTTATATTGCAGTTCTAATACAGATCTCTTATAAACGAAAGAGTTCTAACTTCTAGCCCTTTTAAATAATTCAAAACAATGAAAATAGTATTTTTTAATATTTTTCAACGTTCTGGTATGCTCTGCTGGCACTTGGACGTAAGTTCTGGACTCGAACAGAGTTTTAGATTGTAGTTCTGATACAGATCTGTTATAAACGAAGGAGTTCTAACTTCTAGCTTTTCTAAATAATTTAAAACAATGAAAATAGTTTGTTTTTTCATATTTTCCAACGTTCTGGTATGCTCTGCTGGCACTTGGACGTGAGTTCTGGACTCGAACCGAGTTCTATATTACAGTTCTGATACAGATCGGTGATAAACGAAAGAGTTCTAGCCTTTTACAATAATTTGAAACAATAAAAATGGTATGTTCTGACTTTTCAAAAATTCGGATATGATCTGCTGGAACTTGGCTGAGAGTCCAGAACTATTCCTGAAAAGTATCAGGAACTATAGAACTCAGCTCCTTGCGCGAAGAACTCACATTTGTTTTTGATTTTCTGCAAAATGATCTGCTACGGGAAGTTAGCAGATCATTTTGTCAATTGACTTTTTTTAAGGTAAAAACGCCAGAACTATTTCTAAAAAGTATCAGGAACTATAGAACTCACGTGCATGCGAATAGAACTCACTTTTTTTTTTGATCTGCTGGACAATGATCTGCTAAGTTCACTGACATGTAATACCACACATGAACCACGGGGTTTCATGTCCGTAAGAAAAAGAAACGATGCGTTTGTAAATTAAATTTGCGTAATTTTACCGATTTTTTGTAAAATTAACAATCAGGTAATAAATAGGTTTGTAGTGCATATTCATAGATGGCGTTGTTACTTTTTAAGAGTGGTTTACCGCGGTTAAAAACCGTAAAATCACTAAACTTTGTTTAATTAAATAGCACGAATTTTACAACAGTTCGAAATTTTGTGCATCAAATACATCTACTATCTATATGATAAAATTAAACAAATTTAATACACGTATTTGAAAATGTAACGATTGGTCGTCAGTGCTGGACATGTCGCGGCACATCCTGCTGTACGCGTGCGTGCTGCGCGCCGTGCGGGCGCTGCGCGCGCTGCGCTGCCGCCGCCTGGCGCCCGCGCTGCGCTCGCTGCCGCGCCTGCTGGCCAGCATGAGCCGCACCACCAACTCCTACGCGACCAAGCTCAGGTACACACACATACACACATTTGTAGACAATAATATCGATAGCCGATAGTATTTAATTATAACAATTGATTGCCTATATGTCTGAAAGAACTTAAAAAGTTTTCGAAAAATATGTTAAGTGCATCAGTTCGCATTTGGCCAGCGTAGTGGATGGCTGGCTACTTTTCAATTTTAGTGGAGCCTCATACTTAGTAGTGGCGTTAGAAAGGGTTTTTGCTCATACATTACAATAATTATATGAACGAAAAATATACATTTTTGTAAATATCATTTGTAACCAGTAGATATAATAGACGTAGACAGTAGACTATTTCATTAATGTTTATTGTATAAAATATGACAAATGTTTGGTGTTACAGAATGAGCAAGAAAAACATATTCGGAAAGATGACTTACAGCCAAAGATTTAGTTCATCGAGCAACTCGGAGCTGTCAGAAGAAGACGAGGGCCTCGCGTTGCTCATTGCCGATATTCAGGTTAATTTTATTTAGTGATTAAACATTTTTGAAAATACTCATTTCACATACATTTTCGATTAATTAAATAAATTGTAATATTAGAAACACAAGGGAACAATTCTAAAAACTTTATTACATAAATATAACAATTAATTAATTATTATTATGGAGCACTTGTATTAATTTCTGGTTTACGAATATATACAATTCTACAAAAGCTATCCAGTGATGCACCGGTTATCGAATCGTATATCGCGCCACCACGAGAAGAAGTAAAGTCGACTTGACAAAGACACTTGACAGCTCAATGTAGTCACAAATTATCAAATTTAAACATATGAATTTATACTTATAATAAATGGCATGCAGGCGACATCAGCCCTGATGTGTCGGTCGGAGGGCGAGGCAGAGGGCGCGGGCGGCGCGCGGCCGCTGCGCGGCGCCACGCGCGAGGCGCGCTACATCGACCTCATGCGCACCATGCAGTTCGGTGAGTGACCTCACAAATATTAGAACGGCTTGACATCTTTATGGTTTAGTCATACAAAAATGTACACGTGTTCACATTAACAAGTTTATTAATTCGGTTTGTGATATGTGAATTGTATCGTTCATACGATGTGGCTTATCGATTCGGTTTTATATAGGATCTGTGGAATAAATGTATGGGTTTTTTGACGTATTATAATAATGTCCTTCTGACCTATTTCTGCTACGGTCACCGAATCTCAGTGAGACTAACCAGATGCGCAGGAGGGATTATAGTGCAGAACATGTGTGACTGTACGCGCAGACACAACGTACACTTTATATCTGTCACCCTCAAAGTCTCATGTCTTAATGGGACGGTACTTCGACTTAGACTTTCTTTTAGAATTATCAGAAATTCCTTAATAAAAATATTCAATAGCTGAAGTTGGCTCGACCCTGAACTCGAACCCAGGACCTCCGGATCTGCGACCGAACGTGCTAGCCACTAGACTATCGAGGCAGTTTTTAATGTGTACGAAAACCGCTTCAATAAACCGCAACGTGGCAACACGCCGTCGGTAGATAGTGTTAGTAACGTGTGTGCGCGTGCGCAGAGACGTTCGAGATGATGGCGGAGAGCGCAGAGGGCGGGTTCCGGTTCACGGTGCCCTACCACTTCGAGGGCACGGTGCGCGCGGCCGGCGAGCGCGCGCACCCGGCGCGCATGAAGCGCCTGGCGCAGGAGGCCGCCACGCTGGCCACCTCGCTGCCGCTCTCCTACTCCTCCTCCGTATTCGTGCGCACCGACGCGGACCGCCTCGACGTCATGAAGGTACACTCACACTATTATGTATTGGTTAATTGTTTATTTAAAAAAATAAAAAAATATGAATATTCAATAATGCCTAATTAATCTTATGCATTATTCACAAAGTAAATGATTTTTAACGGTAATTAAAATAGAAGAAATTCGATTTTATTGTCAAAGTCTAAATATAAACAAAATGAACTCGGACGTGGGCAGGTGCTGATCACGGGCCCGTCGGACACGCCGTACGCCAACGGCTGCTTCATCCTGGACGTGTACTTCCCGGCGGAGTACCCTGCCGTGCCCATGCTCATCAACCTGGAGACCACGGGCCGCCACTCCGTGCGCTTCAACCCCAACCTGTACAACGACGGCAAGGTGTGCCTCTCCGTGCTGAACACGTGGCACGGCAGGCCCGAGGAGAAGTGGAACGCGCACACGTCCAGCTTCCTCCAAGTGTTGGTGTCCATCCAGTCGCTGATCCTGGTGCCGGAGCCGTACTTCAACGAGCCGGGCTACGAGCGCAGCCGCGGCACTCGCGTCGGCAACAGCGCCAGCCTCGAGTACAACTCCAACATCTACCAGGCGGCGGTGCGCTGGGCGATGCTCGACCACCTGCGCGCGCCCGAGCCCTGCTTCAAGGAGGTACGCGCACTATATATACTAACCCTTTGGGTATTGCATTTTATAAAACACTCGAAAAAAGTAATCTTTTCATCTTTTGGAAAAAGGGAATATGCATGTTTTTTTATACAATTGTTTACATTGTTATATAATTGTAAAAAAATTTCCAGCTCCAAAAAACTTAAATTTAGTATTATATTGTTTTTAATTTACCGTTACGGATACTTTAAACGCCCGCTATTTGTGGCGACAAAATCGCTAATCGCTCTGTTATGATAATACTTTGACGCCATATTCAGTCTGACCAATGGCGTGCGTTTCAACTACTTTGAATTTCCCACCTATATTCGCACTTTTTAATAATTATATTTTCATATTTATTTTTCATAATTATATAAAAATATTAATATAGCCTTAATTCAAAAACAATAAGGATTATAAAAAGAAATATTTAACCTTTATTTAAATTACACGCATATTCCCTATTGTTAGAACTTTCAAAGGTACGGTTACTCTACCAACTTAAGGTAAAGAATTTATAGAAAGTCAAATAACTATCTCGAGTGTTTATGATACATTGCTGTCTACGAAATCTTTGCCCAAGTAAATATAAAATGGGCCATAAAGTGGAGGTTTGTTTTAGTGGCCATGGGTTTTCTATGTTTAATAAAATAATAATAAAAAATACGCTTTATAGCTTTATTTTGTTCATAATAACGGTATATTTATATAAAACGTTGCTATTAAAGATGTATAATGCTAAAAAAAATACTGGTTTTAGCTAGAAAGGATAAAATTATAATGATGTATGGTATCAATGCCACTACAATTGTATGCAAATTGTAAATTTGAATCGGTCTCATCCAGGTGATCCAGACTCACTTCTGGATGAAGCGCAACGAGATAATGCAAACGGTGGCCAACTGGATCACCGAGCTCGAGGGGCAGAGCGGCGACGAGCGCACGCAGCGCAGCATACAGCACAACCTCATGGCGCTCAAGGTACGCGGGCGATGCTCCAATACACATGAATCCATGACTGTCTGTCTGTCTGTCTGTCAGTGGGCTTGAAAATTTCAACTGTTACAGAATCATCAGATCAGAATGAAGTTGTCAGAGTTGAAATTTTCAAAGAATGTGTTTTTCAATTGTCCCTGTATTAAAAAATAATAAAAAACCAAGAGAATGAATTTCAAAATGGTTGCCACGCAAATAAAAAAAAATCTATAAGTACGGCGTTATATCTTGTACGATGGTACGGAACTCTCGAATCAGACTCGCACATGATTTTTTTACTGTCTGGGTAATTTACGACATGTTACTAAATTTGGTAAATTATAATATTTTTACAGAGGCATTATGTCAAACTACAAGAGGAACTAGCGAAACTGCCCGTGCCGCCCGGCCTAGAGGACCTGGACGAGCCCTTCCAGCTGCCGGCCGCGCCCACGCCGTCTACCCCGGCTCGCCGCCCACCCATGGCACGCCGCCCGCCCACGGCACGCCGCCCGCCCCCGCGCCAACCGCCCAGACCGCCCAGCCCGCCCAGCCCTCGTCCGACGAGATAGACCACGACATGGAGAAGATCGTCTTGCAGGTCCTAGACTGAGCCTCGCAGTGAGCCCGCGCGGCCCACCTGTACATAGCTCCGGGGCAGTGCTCCGGGCGCGCCGCCGCCTCCGCCTCTCGTGCTCCTTGTTTTTGTTACAGAATTACACTTTTTATAAATACTTTTATTAGATGTATAGTATTTAGTAGAACCTCTGTTTAGTTTAATGTATTGTGATACTACGACGGGCTCGCGACCCTGTAAGGTATATGTTAGCGTCGCCGACGCGGCGGCGAGCGGCGGCGGCGGCGGAGGAGGTGTCCACAGCGAACATAGTTTGGTAGAACTCTCCCAACAAGCTTACTGCGACTGCACTCATTAACTCGACGTCGGATTATATGCATTATCGTGCGAGTGAAGTGCACTTTCAGTTTGGAAAGTGAATTGGCTGAGCACGATCTCTATACTGTATTTTGACTAGAGACTATTATAATCTCTGTACGAGTTTGTGTTCCTTCGAGATGTGTATCATTATAGCAATGCAATGAGATAAGGTGTACGACGCGACGTGACATGTCAGACGTGTCGGACAGACGGCGCTGCCCGCACACATGTTACCGTAAGCTCGGCCGGCGCCCGCGCGTCCGGGGCGCGGTGTCGCCTAGGCGATGTCTAACTATATTATGTAAATTAAATTATAATTTGATGTATATAAACTAATTGCGTTTCAATTTTTGTATTTAAGAAATATATATATACGTATCGCGATAGTGCGAGTGCGCGACGGACGGACGTCGTGTGGTTGTATATATATCAGCTCATAGTCTCTCACTGTACTGTCGTTGTCAGATAACTTTGTAGGACATTCACTTGTTATATATCTGACAAATTCGGGATGTAAATAAAAATTTATGTTATTGCAATTTTTTGTTGTTTTCTTTTTTATTTTCATTCAGTGTTTAAAAGTGCAAAGACCTTTTCTTTGATTGCGAAAAATACTAAATAGGTATTCAATTTCTGCTATACTTCTCTCTCCATATTTAATTTTGAATGACTATTTTTATTGTATAAATCAATGTTGTGCATTTGAAACAATACAAGTGTTAGGACATATCTGAATTTGAGTGTACTTTAGCCAATTTAAAATGTTAAACTTTTTGTAAGTGTAAACACTACTACCAATATAAGTAATGTCTGCATGGTGGAGTGTAATGAAACTACGAATATATGTGTAGATAATATCAATAAATGTCGATTTTGGGAATATTAATGTGTAAATTTCAGAACGTATTAATATATAAAGAAGAAAAAACTGGACATTCACTTATATACCTTTTTATTGTAAATATATTTACACATTGTTCATATGAAAATTCACATACACGAAATATTATGACAATTTATCCATAACTTCATTTTAATATCTGAAATAAATAATTATTTATTCATTCGAGACTCGTTGATTTGCACCGGATTGTTTGTTTACTTTTTCGTTATTTTTATTGCACCTTATTATAAACTAGAACTTACAACAAATCAAATCTCAAACTGAAACGTTGTTTCACCAATAATATATCAACTGGAAATTCTGACGTCTTGTGAACCAATAAACTGGGCCTCTGCGGCTCGTAATTAATTAATCTAAAACCAATGAAACTTAATCTTGAATTTCCATCACAGATGGAGCTAACTACTTGTGACACAATATTTATTTACACTCATCCTTTATATCTATATATCTACAGAACTACGGTAGGAAGTAATCTATTGATTTAGTGCAGTTAACAATAATAGCATTAAATGTATGGCACTGCGGTTTACTTCAAAGGACCAATGTCAACGTACGCACTAATGAGTATCAATCCTAACTGAACTATAGACTGCTACCTATGGAGTGACCGCGTGCGTTGCCTCGGTGACGTCTAGAGTGAAACATAAATAATAAACTAGCCCCTATGTCGCGAGTTGCTACTTGCGCTAGACCCAGGCGTGTATGGCCTGCATGCTGAGCTCGTTGGGGTCCAGCTGCCCAGCCTCCACGCACGACTTGCAGCAGAATCTGTAGTGAAATATGAATACTTTAGTTCTATTCTTATTTCTTACACAAATATACCTAAATAAAATCTTGTGTGTTAGCTATTTAACGCTGTGGCGGCTCAATGGATTTGAAGAGTCCGAGGCAAAAGTTATTTTTTTATTGATATAATAATTCTCGGAGAAATCAATAATTTTATTTTAAATTACATGAAATTAAAATAAACAATGCACAAAGAACTTTGTCTTCTTACCCAGAGTAATATTTGTGATGACAGAAATTGCTCTTGACGATGAGGTGGCACGTGGCGAAGTACGGGTTGTCCTTGCAGTTCGGCGGGATGTACACGCCTGCGGATACGCGTCAGGTTACAATATGCTTTGGTCAGAGTTTCCGTTATTAATAATACTTATACATTAAATACGACTATTCTATTTCGCCCTTTTTAACGTCCCACCGCTGGGCACGGGGGATCAGGCCCTATAGCTTCACATGTCTTTCGAAAACTTGCTAGATTCTCCCAGACATGCAATTTTCCTCACGATGTTTTCCTTCATCGTAAGACAAGTGGTAATCATGTTGGAAATGATTCGCACATGAATATATTGGGTGCGAGATTGGGATTTTGCTTTGTCTATCTACCCTAGCTGATCAGCTTAGGTGTAGGTTCCGGGATTATCGTTTTACAATGTGAAAACCTTTACCTTCGACACTGATGGTGACGGTGGAGTAGTGCGAGGAGTACGCGTTGGCGGCGTGGCAGCCGTACACGCCGCTGTCGCTGGTCTGCGCGCGCAGCACCGTCAGCCGCGCCTCTGCGGAACCGACGAGCGATATTTACACATGTTGCAAGATAAAGAGATGTCCTTCTGACCGATTTCGGCAATGGCAGCCATCTCACTGATTGTGAGTCTAGCCAGATGCGCAGGTGATATTGTAGTGCAACGCGTATACGCGCAGACACAAGTACACTCTCAATTTCTTTTACTCTGAAAGTCCGATGGGAAGGTACTTCGACACGCCTCGTGAGAGCTGGACGCAGGCCGACGGTTTTACGTGCTCTCTAAGGCACGGGGTTGTAAGCTGTAACATTGCTAACTTCCCAACTGATAGATAGTATATGTTACCGAGAATTTCTTGACAGAAAAACTCAGTAACTAAACTTGTCCCGACCGGGGACTCGAACCCAGGACCTCCGGATCTGCAGCCGCGCATGCTAGCCACTAGACCGCCGAGGCAGTCAATCGTCAAAATAAAAACAAAAATTTCAGTATTTAGGATGGTCGTCATAGAGGCAGACTTGTGTCCTTAGACTTAGTCCACTATATTTGCTATTGCTTCCGAGGTTGCCGGTTCTATTCCTACATGAACTGAGCGTCTGTATCGATTAAACATAGGTACATTTACCGTTTGATTCTACCGGTTAGGGTATACAAATGACTAATATTTGCAAAATTTAAGCATTCTTATTCTGCTTGTTGCTCAGAGGGCCTACATAATATGGTGTGGTCTATTACGAGGAAATACCAGTAACATAAAAATCTCAGTGCGAGCACAATTATAAATAACAAGTGATATTCATACCAGAAGCAATACCTATAGTTACGCAAAACCGACTTTATGACAACCACAAGTGCTCAGATAAAATTACTGTTAAGTTGAACCACAGCGACTAGCTCAACGGTAGCTCGGTAACTCAACTGTACCTATAGGTAGTTGGTAATGTTAATTTTAATACCAACTAGAGAGCTTTACGGTATAATATAGGTATGTATATGTATGAGGATATCATTAATGTGGACAAACAATTAAATGTAGATTTATTATTGGAAATAGAGGGGCGGCGCCTCTGGCAGTTATGGGCGGGTGTGGGCGGGCGTAGGCGAGTGCCTTACCGGTGGCGGAGACGCGGTCGTCGTCGCGCAGCGGCACGCCGTCCCTGGTCCAGTGCACGCGCGGCAGCGGGTAGCCGTCCACCTCGCACGGCAGGTTGATCTCCGCGCCCGCCGGCACGCGCGCGTTCGCGCTGGCCAGCCGCGTGCTCACCGGCACTGCAACCGATGCTATAGTGCTACACACGCTTTTACTATTTATATTTAGTGTCTGCTATCTGACACGTACCCAAAAACATCATAACATACATACAAAGTAAAGGTAAATACAATATTTTAAACATGAGAATTTATAGTAAGTATGTAAACACTATTGAGTAAGTAATTATTTTATAATGTTGAATCTAAACACTGTGTAATTTAGTTAAAAAATCAATATTTAAATATAACAACGACTATAATTTCCATTAGGTAGGTACATACAACATATAAAGGACAAAACAACACGTAGACGAAATAATAACATTTTTTTAGCTTGTAATTTATATAGGTAGGTACTATATTTCACGATATATAAAGAAAAAGTAACAATCATTAGTGTAAAGAACATATCTTATAAGGTATGCTCTCACACTATCAACCATGTAGATAGAAAACTGTACAAAATACAAATTTAAGAGAAGAAGTAACTTAAACTATCATGCAAGTAGAGACCATGCACTAAAACCAACATGCAAAATGATTAACTGAAGCATTTTATATAATTGTAAAGCTCTGTATAAAGGTACAATCTTACCGGTGTAGATAGGTATCTCAATCCTGGGTTCCGGTGTGGTGGTAGCATCCGTGGGGGGTTCCGTGGGTGTCGTCGTCGCTTCCTGTCTCGACACCAAGAACGGGTGAGAGCTTTTGGAATCATCAGGGCTGTACGCTTGGACAATGACCGACCAGTCCGCCGGCTTATCGATCCCGTTGTATGCCTGGCATATGTACTCTCCTACGGTTTCGAGGGTCAGTTTGCGTATTTGCAGCACATTGTCGCGCGCCTCGTAGAGCGAGCTGGAGTAGGGCACCATGGGCCCGTCGCGCCCCTTGTACCAGTATATGGCGGGCGGGGGGTAGCCGTAGGAGAGGCAGCGCAAGTTCAGCGGCTGGCCCAGCTCGCCCCTCACCACCTTGTTTGGCTCGCCGGCTATACCCGCAGCGCTTTCCACAGGATCTAACCATCCCCTTTGTTAGTACTACACTCTACGGTTTGTGAATGTTCGCAACGTATTTTATTAAAAATGGCCTTGTTTTAGAAAATAATGATGAACACATATTATTTTTTTATTTGAAAACCCTACGCACGATTGTTACATTTAGGACGAACACGAAGAGTGAAAACTAATTGAATGTTGTGTTTAAAAGCTATGAACGTACAAACGTTAGCGTAAATACAAAATGGTTATTTTAATGATATGAACGCGACATTATTGAAACAGTTCTTTATAAAATTTAAATTATTTTATTCTTTCTAAAAATAATAATCTCAAAATCTGTTTCTAGTTTTTCAACATTTTAGAAGATTCACAAACAAGTATTATTTTCTACAAGCTATAATCTGATAGCATCAGATTATATAATACTTTTGGATTTTCAAGAATATAAATATTAAAATTTTTGTGTAATGTGAAAAAATCCCTTATTTTTATTAAGGATAAACTAAAACAAATGCGCTATAAAGTTTATTATAGAAAATCCAAAATTATCATTAAGAAAAGAACTACTGTTAATCAACAACAACCTGTATAGTAGTAACGTGCGTCTGCGCAGAGCAGGGTGCACGCCGCGAACACTGAAAGCCGTAACATCGTAGCGACGATCGCAACGAGCAAGGAGCACTATCACCGACACTCACTCAATCGCGACTGGCTGTTGCCTGTTACTCGTAACTTAGCACCACGCAGGGATTTCCAAACATATTTAATCCACGGCCCGTAAAAGCTTCCAAATTAATTTTTAGAAGATAACATTGTCGCCGCTACGTTGTAAAGGATTTTCTTAGCGATCCGACGTTTGATGACTCCTGGTATTATCACTGGGACGCAGGGCTCGAGGGGCGTTAATATTAACGTTGCTTAGATAAAAGACTGTTGACTGCAAATTTTGCGGACATCCGGTGACAAAGTGATATAACAAAACAACAAACATTTATACCTATCTCTAAATGACTTGGTAATGACTTTGTAGCGTTTATACTGCCGCATGTTTTGCAAATAAGTACCTACCTATGTATATATAAATGCCTCTATTATCTATGTAAATAAATTGTAACGAATTTTTTAAAAACGATATGTCATTCATTCAATCTAAATCACTAAGCTAAAACTAATACCTATACAATACGTATAATGTATGCAACTATAAATCTATTCACTTCCTACATCAATCGGCTAAATATGAAACGATCATTATCTCCAAGACAAGAGGTTATCGACATTTGTTTACAAACCATTAGAGTGCAAATTCTATTCCGCTTAAGTAAATGATTTATGATCTAATGATATCATCTTGGAAATATTTTTTTTTCTTAGAAAAAAGAACATACAAAGAGTCAAACATGGATTAGATATATTTGTTTCAACGCAGCAAAAACTTCTAAAGCACAACGCTCAATTCGTTGAAATGCGCGAATAATATAAAGTTAATAACATAAAGTTTGTGAGTACGGATGTATGGATGTTTGTTACTTTTTCACGCCAGAACAGCTGAACGGATCTGGATGAAATTTGCCACAATATATGATAGTCTGGAATAACACATAGGCTACTTTTTATCCCGTTATAAATGTACGGTTCCCGTGGGATAGGTTTGTTTAATGTTTTTGTCTTCTTAGAAGCGAAACCGAGCGAGGGAGAGCAGCTAGTAAAGAATACGTACGCCAGTTCAATAATGGTATCTACTCATCTACTCATTATGTAAGTATAGGTAGGTTATGAAGCGATGAATTGTGCACATTTCCGTCGCTTGTCTGTTATCAAATGAAAATTGTGTCAGCAAGAGAGATTGGCGCGTGAATGTCGAAATATTCGTGTGGTCCAGATGTGCATCTCTATTACATACAATATCGTCATACGTCAAGCTACATCGATAACATGTTATGCTTTCAGTGAACGCTGCTTTGGTGGGTTAATTAAAACTTGGTTAGAATAAGTTGGAAAGGATTTCAAATTAATATATTAAAGAATAGAAAAGACAAACAGAAAGATAAAAGAACAATAAGGAATAAAAAACTCAATCTCTAATATCTACTTCAGTCTTCAAAAGAATTGTCTCACGCATTAATTAGCAGTGCATTTTAATAAATTAGCTAACATTTAGGATTGAAACATTAGATCTGCTTTAATTTTAAGATCTATTAAAATGCATAGCCAATGTCCGTCGACGCAAACCGCGCAGACGAGAACCCTTGCGCGCTCGACTGAACACAGCCGTGGATTGGACTTTATTCTTAATTCAACAATTATATTTCAATTACGTATAATTTTATTAATTAATTGAAACCATCAAAAGGTCAATAAATTAATGATAATTTTCTTAATTATCATTTTATTAAACAGTATACTACAGATGATTCCAGTCGAACAAACAAAAATTTTTAAAGTGTGTAATCGCTCAGTCGCGTGCAGGTAAGTGGGGTGGAGAGTGGTGGGGTATAGTGCGGTGTGGTGGAGGGTGGTGGAGGGTTGCGGGGCGTGGGGGAGCGCACTCACCGTCGACCTCGAGGCGTATCTCTTGCGTGGCGCGGCCAAGCTCGTTGGAGCCCACGCAGATGTAGACGCCGGAGTCGTTGCGATACAGCGACACGATCTCCAGCGTGCCGTCCGTCAGCAGCCGGTAGCGGCCCTTGTCGCTCTCGATCTGGGCCAGGCATTACATGATCATTGACGCATTGGTTGTGACACCGATAAAAGTTTATATTACACAAATATAATTCAAAAATTATATTAATGAATTCGTGTTCAAAGTAGTTTGGCATGTTTTAGAGCATTTTTTAGTTAACATTTAAGGACTACAGTATTTATCAGTGTGCACTGCGCGGCGCACACACTGCACACAGGAGAAGGCGGAGACTCACCGTGATGGCGCCCCAGCGCCAGGTGATGGTGGGCGGTGGGTAGCCGTGGAAGACACAGCGCAGGCGCGCCGTGCCGCCCTCCGCCGCGCGCACCTCGGGCTCCGTGTCCGCCGCCGCCGCGCTCGGCGCCTGCGGCAGCTCTGCGCCCCGACCACAACCACCCCGCGTTATTAATTATATCTATTTAGGCTTGTCACACTCGACACAGGTACGTACATAGTTTATTTATTGAAAAGTATTCTAGTTTTAGTTTCAGTTCAGATCAACAAATTTTTTATTTCAATTTGTTTTTGTACCCACGTTAAGTAAATGCGACCACTTTATCATAATTAACTAAATGTTAAGTTCTAAGTGCTTAATTTGTAAACCTATTAAACATTTCTATTTGCATAATACAGCATAGTTTAATCATCTATTATTTAACTTATAATGAGTGAACGTCACGTACCTATATGACACAGAGATTTTTAAAAATATCCGCCTGATACTAAAAATTCCAAAAGTACAGCTTCTAGGAATTAGCACGGACTTGGACGGCTTATTAAATGAGATCGACCTTGATCTTGGATAAAAAGTAAAAAAAATGTTTATTGACTAAGAGAAAATATGAGACGGGAAAATATGGATTCCATTTCGGCCATTAGTACGATGTGGTCTACGTTTTAGGTAAGATACTCTAAATTTACTGACTAAAAACGTTATAACTTATAAGTATTAAGTTATTAATGAAGCGCAGTACCAGGTGGGCGCGCGGTGGCGGCGGCAGCGGGCGCGGCGCCCGGCGTTAGGCACAGGCTGCTGCAGCCGCGCGCGCAGCACTTGCCCACGCCCACGCAGTCCGCGTCGTCGTTGCACTCGCGCCGGCACTGCCCCGCGCCGCCCGCCGCCGCGCCCTCCGCCGGGCACGACCCCGCCTTGTTTACTGTGTGATGCGAACGTGCGGCATCGTGTAATAATACTCATTATCATGTCGTGGTCAATTTTATATTTAAACACTGGATTCATTCTGTTAGTTTTAAAAATTTTAATTTTAAATTTTGAATTAGTTATAAAGATAAATGTTTAAAGTAGAGCTACTTAATAATAATAAAATATATTAAAATCAAACGACGTAACCAAAGGTTAAAAGAGGTATCATCCAGTCAACCCAAGTATGTGGGAAATAGGGTTAATTATTATCAGAATAGACTACATAGTTATTTTAGTACCTAATAGAAAAATTGTATTCTTCATGACAAATAAATGTATTTAAAATTTAAATGTTATACAAAAAGTGTTTACCAATCCTGCACTCAGTGGTGTAGCGCACTTCCAACGTGATCGGGTCGCGGTAGGGCGACGCCACGCAGCGCTCGCCGGCCGCGCACGCCGCGCCCTCGCACGGGTGCTCGATACACGTGCATCTGTTTAACAACAGTATATATTATTTCTTCTTTAGCTCTAATCTCTATCCATTTCAATGTTCAATTATATTGAAATAGATAGTGGATGGCAAATATGAAGATAGTATTCCGTTGCCCGGTTTCGCAACGGTAGCCAATTTCACTGACACTAGACCTTTGGCGCAGGAGATATCTTCTATAGTACATAGTAGTATGCGCACAGACAAAAATGTATCACTCTCTAACTCAGGACAATTCCTAACGACCGGTGAGAGATCATACTCTTGATTGGAGGCTATACTCAGACAGCGGAGGCACGGGGGCGTAACATCGCTAACTTCTCAATTTCAGTGGTTGCTGAGCGTTCTTTAACAGAAAAACTCAATAAACTTAATTCGGACCCGTACATGCTAGTCAATAGGCCACTGAGGTAATTTAGACATAAGTGAGTACTGAGTAATAATATTACAAAAAAAAGATTCCGACGAATTGAGGACCTCCTTCGTTTTGGAAGTCGGTTAAAAATAAAGATAGCAACACAAACATAAGTCTAGCGTACCTCTCGCAGCCGTCCGAGTCGGTGGCGCGGCGCACGCCGTAGTTGCAGGCGAGGCGCTCGCACTCCCTGCGCAGCGGCGCGCAGTCCACGTGCACGCGCACGCAGGCGCAGCGCTCGCAGCCCGCCGCCGTGCGCCGCCGCTGCACGCCGTACTCGCAGCGCAGCGCCGCGCACTCCGCGGCGTGGCGCTCGCACTCCGCCATCGCCTCGTTGGACTCCTCGTCTGCGGGACACCACGGTCATGCGAACATAATGAAACATTTATTCTTAAAAATTAAATTATGTATGTAGGTACGCCTTTAAAACTTAGGGAAAGACTAGCATTGCCCGCGGCTCCGCCCGCGTTCAGACGACCAGAAACCATATTCTTAGGTTTTACATATTAGTATACTCTTACAATGCAGTTTTCCTATTTTTTCTCAGAAACGACATATTTTCTCGCGGTAAAAAGTCCCATCTCATATGTTGACCTGGATATCCAGCTATCGTCATAAGTACCAAATTTCATCAAAATCTGTGAATCTCATGATGCGGTAACAGACAGACTGACAAACAGACAAAAATTCTAAATACTATAGATTCGGACTCTGTATCGATAATAATGTCAATTTCAATTAGATTTTCCAAAAAATATTTAATGTACAGATTCGACTTAGTTACAATTTTATTATATGTATACATTAGTTATGTCTCATGCATTCATTTAATATTAAATAATGTACAACAAATAGTGCAAGAAAGAAATAGACTTAAGCGAGCGGTGTAATATGAGAGTTGCAAAAAGCGGAGTGCAACGATGATTCGTGAATACATAAAAATATGCTACTGAACGCAAGGACAACACAAGAGGAGGTCGCGATGCGGCAAGGACGCGACGTGTACGAGTACCGGCAGGGCGCGCGCGCAGGCACAGCGCGGCGCAGGCGGCGTACGAGGCGAAGTTGTTGGCGTTGCCGCCGCAGCCGCGGAACACGAAGGGCAGGCAGTCGCCGGCCGCCGCGCTGTAGTACCAGCGCCGCAGCGCGCCGCCGCACGCGCCGCCCGGCGCCGCCGCCGCCAGTCACGCTGGCGCTGCCGCCACACCACCACTCGCACTCCGGTCTCCACCCAGCTCGTTTATAGCCATATTGACTTCATTTATCGTACCGAGCCCACTTGGTTTTTTTATTTATAGTAGACCGAACAGATTTCGATTGACATTTGAAATAATTTGAGGAAATTGAGAATGGATGTGGACGAAAGGTTGAATCGTTTCTTTTATAAAGCTATTTTTAACCATAGTGGTTGTATTACAGTAATCGAAGCTTTCAAATATGCACTTATGTTATATTAGTAACTATCTACTATTACTAAGATATGTAGTGCGAAAGCTGATTGCACGGCAGGGATGCCCGATTGAGTGATAACAAATCATAATTCATATTTATATAGGCGTAGGTATCCAATTTAAAATGTTATTTTTTTCAACGGATATCCCTACATTTTAGAAGAAAGTAAGAAATTGAAATAAAATTAAATTAATTTTAGTAAGAATAGTAGATAGTCAGTTGTGATATCGAACCTGGCCCCGTGTGTCCGCAGACTTGCTGGCACTCGTCGGCCGAGGAGAAGCGGTTGGGGCCGCCGAGGCAGCCACCGTACGCGTACTGCAGGCAGCGCCCGCTCAGCGGGTCCCAGTAGTACTTGGGGATGGCGGACAAGCACGGCCCGGCGTCCAGCGCGGACCCGCACACGTCTGGGGTAGACGTTCAGTAGCATTAAACTCAAAATTAAATTTGTAAAGTTTATGTATAAAATTAAAATAAACAAAATCATTGTACCTACTTTTAAAAAATAATATATATGGTTATGGCTTTCTCATACACTTATAGTTACTGATTTTTAATTTAAGCGTATGAATTTTATATAGGTACTAGTGACTTACCCTCGCTCCGCTCGGGTTCGTCTCTAGTTACGTTTTAACGTTTAGTATAGATTTCTCAAAGTTGAGATATTTTTCTGCAGTAAAAAGTATCCTATATGTAGACTTGGATAACCAGTTATCATAACCACCAATAACCAATATAATCATACCTTTCATCAAAATCTGTCCGGTGGTTTTCTCGTGAGGCGGTCACCGACATATAGACAGACAAAAATTCTAAAGACTATAGGTTCGGTCTTTATATCGATAATAATGACTATTTCATATTTATTACATAGGATTTTCCAAAAAAATATTTAATATATAGATTCGACTCATCAGTTAAGTTTTAATATATGTATGGATTTTAAGTGTGAGTGTTATGTATTAGAGATTAACAAATCGGTCAACAATGCGGCACTGACCCAGCCCGCGGAAGGCGCCGCAGCGGCGCTCGCACTCCTCCTCGCTGCGGTAGTTGTTGGCGTGGCGGCAGGCGCCGGTGTCCGCGCGCAGGCACGCCTGCGTCGCCTCGTCGAAGTAGAACGCCGTCACGTTGTCGCCGCACGGCGCCAGTGACGCGGGCGTCTCGCACTCGCCGCCCACGTACTGCGCGATCAGTCGTTACATTTGTAATGGTCGAATGTAATAATACCTACTTTTTGCAACTCACAAGTCTTGATATTCATTAACTTCCGACGCATAAAGAGGGGTATTATAACTTGGTTTGACGTCAATGTCTGACTGTCTGTCTGTGTGTATGTGTGTCTGTCTGTAGCTTTGTAGCTCTCAAACGGATGGACCGATTTCAATGCGGATTTTTTTCATTTGAAAGCCAGTTTCCTTGCGGTGGTTCTTAGCTATGTTTGGTTAATATCGGTCTAGCAGTGTAAGAGTATCAGCTCTTTTCCAAAATGATGTAAGGCATTTTGGCGTATGATTACTCGATTAAGTGCTTCACGCGTGCCAGTGTAATCGTTAAATGACAATTTGCGTAAGGGTTTTTTTTTAATTTTAATTTATAATTATATTCGAATAATCTTATTTCTATTTGGTTTTTATGGCCAAGTACTTAACGGCCTATTTGGTTGGAGGCTAGCAGATCCGAAATCCGGAGGTGACAATCTGTATTGGTCATTTTGTCAAAAAATGCCCAGTAACCGTACGGAATAAGGAAGTTGACAGTAAGGGAGCACGTAAAGTCGTCGGAATTCGAGGGTTAAAGGAAAAGAGAGCACATTTGTACTCGCACAAAAAAGTTTGTAAGCTATAATATCCTCTGCACACATATAGTTTCAGTGAGATTATAAACTGTAAATCTAATCAAGGAAGAAAGGCCGTCAAGACGTAATAAGAGTGGATTATTTCGCCGTTGTTAGTTTTTATTCATAAACAAACTGAAATTATATGTAAGAAAATTGAAGATACTCACTATTTCGTGTGTAGTGGTGAGGGGAGCGCTCGTCGTAGTGGTCGTGGGGACAGTCGATAGAGCGAAAGCTACTGTAGTAGTCGACCCTTTCTTGCAGCGGCTTTCGCACATTTCACGAGTTTCAAATCTGTTGAAGAAAATTAGAAGATGCATGTAAAAAAAGGATAAAACTTTTAAAATACGAAAATTACTCGAAAAAAAAAATAATTTTATAAAAAAATGAAAATATAACGATTATAAAACATGAAAATATACGATATTTTTTAGGAATTGTCGTTGGCATCTTTGATTGATCATCAGGTTTTAATACCGACCAATAGATTATTACAATACTGGCCTCGTACTCGACACTCCTCAGAGAGAATAATCAAATATTTTAAAATATACGCATGTCTACCTATTGTCGTTGCCGTAGCAGCCTCCGTACACGAACGTGTCGCAGGAGTCGCGCGCCGCGTTGTAATACCACATGTTGAAGCTGGCGAGGCAGTTGCCGGGCTCCGGGGGCTGTGCGCAGGGATCCGCAGGGCTCGCCGCTGCTGTGTCATCAATACAATGTTCTTCATATTTATGGTGCAATAATAAGGAAAATGATTTGCAAGCTTCTAAATATATACCAATTTATATATAACAAGTATATAATATCCTATTAGGCATATTATGTAATTGTGAAAATTTATGAGTTCTTCACACTGCACTGTAACGATTGAACGGATTTTGAGTATTAGGAATTGAAGTACTTTAGATAGTACATCCGGCATTACTTAGCATTGCCAAAAGTAGAACTTAATAATACTTAAGTTACATTTTAAATATGTTAATGATTTCTTTTTGTTCACAAAATAACAGTATACCTATATCGGTAATATCGCAGAAACCCTGGTGATAGGTGTACCTATAGCATATCTATATCATACATATATATGCATAAGAAATGAGGCGAAATAAGATGCAGGTAAGCAAATAGCATACCGATCTCGGGTTTGCACACTTGTTCGCATTCGGCGACGGAGGAGAACCGGTTGGGTCCGCCGAGGCAGCCGCCGTACACGAAGGGCTCGCAACGGCGCGTGGCCGCGTCGTAGTACACCTTGGGCAGCGCGGCGAGGCACGGGCCCGCGTCCACCGCGTAGCGGCACACGTCTGCGGCAAGAGGACAACACTTGTATTATATGGTTTTGCTAGACACCATGATGACTGTGTCGTGGACATGGCTTAATAATTGCTCTTTAAAACGGTTTTCTCAGTGATAAAATACAAAGCATTACCTTTTTATGCTAGAAAAACATATATTATCGATGAGCACAAGAAAATATTTTATATAATGCCATACACATTCGTTAATCTACTCGTAGTTTATAGCATTGTGTATGTGTCGGTTTAAAGTAAAATATTGTCTATTCAAAGTCGCCTATTTCAGAAAGTATTTCAATTTAAACAGAATAGCGACAGCTTTATAATAATTCACATGCTCACGTAAAGTAAAAAATTAATCATTGCCAATAAATACATAAGTATTTAAAAGTCAGAACTGACGTTTTACACATTTCTCAGCGAAATA